TCCGCGACGACGATTGTTTGTGTTCCCCCATTGCGATGGCACGGGGGTGACTGGGCGCCGGCCTGCTGAGTGCACTTGGAGGGGAGCGGATGGTGTGCCCCGTGCCTCACTGTGAGTGTGGGACGACAGTCCGCCGGGGAAGGGAGAAGTAAAGCGCAGCGCTGTGGAGTTGGATGCGTCCCGTTCGTTGCCGCCGTGTGTGTGCTGTGCGCATGGCACTTTACTACGGTGCGAAGTGGATGGCGTTACTATTGCATTTGCCCTCTTGTATGTGTTGTGCGGCGGGCTTCTCTTCCCCATGACACCGTCCTTCTGTGCGGGTGGGTGGAGGGAGTGGAGATGTATGAGGGTGGCAGTTGTTTTTGCACATTGAGGTCCTCCACAAAGGTGGCACCTCACGGCAGCCTCTTGCAGCACCGAGGCCGTGGATTGAGAGGATGGGAGGGTCTGCTCCAACCACAAGGACAACGAGATGCAGTGCGTGACGGTGAGGCTGATCCGCGTGTGGTTGCAGCGCATGCGGCACGTGCGCCAGTACGCGTTGGGCGTTGTGCTCATGATTGGGGAGAAGTGGCGGCACGACGTTGTGGCGCTGTGTGTGTTGTGCGTGGCCGGGGCATGCCGGCGATTGTGAGGACGTGGAGTACACGGAGCTGCTGGACTGAGGGAGGAGGTGGCGTACGTTGCGGCGCAGCGGGAGTGCATGACGGACTGCGTGTGCTGGGAGGGCCCGACGATCCCGAGGCCTGTGCTGGAGGGGCGCGTGTTGAAGTGAGCGTGGCGTGCCTGTGAGGGACTGAGGAGAGAGAACAACAGCAATGGTGACTGTGGGGGTGTGAGGAACGGTGCACGGCGAGGATTAATTTTTTTGTTTTTTGTTTTGATTGTTGTTGAACGGCGCTCAGCTAATTGTTGCTGTTGCGGTGATGCTTGTCTCTCATTGCTGGATGGGACGGTGCGTGGCTGTGTGACTTGTCTCTCCTTGTTGCTTTCGCTCTGCGTTGACGTGTTGTTAGTTTGTGCTGAAGGCTGCACGCAAGTGACAGGAGTGATGATGGCGATGATGATGACTGGCCGTGTGCTGCTGGTGTGTGCCCTCTGCGTGCTGTGGTGCGGTGCCGGCGGTGGTGGATGTTCTGAAACACCTCAAGCTCCTCAAGACATTAAGTCTGGTAATGGCAATAATCATCAGAGTGTTAACAACAACGCTGGTGGCGCTGGAGAAAGTGGCCAAAGCGGTGAACCGGTAGAGTCACAAGCAGCAGGACTATCGGTAACAGAATTACCCGGAGCTGGGGCGGCAACGAAATTACCAGGAGCGGAAACACCAACGGCAGGGACGGAAAAAAAAAACGAAGAAACGGGACAAGAGAAAGAAGAGGAGGATGATAAGCAACAAGAAGAGGAGAAAACGAAAAAAGATGAGAAGGTGGTTGACAAGAAAGAAGAGGAAGCAGAGGAGGACGATGAAGAAGATAAGGATGACGACGTGAAAGACGAGGAGGAAGAAGAAGAGCAGAAAAAGAAGAAAGATGATAACGGCGCCACAAAAAAATTATCAGCAGGCAGTGAAGAGCAGCCACTTTTACCATCTGGTGCGGAGGGAGCATCGAATAATACGAAATCCAAAGGCACTCAAACGCCTGACGACGATGATCCAGCAGCCGATGGTGCAGGGACACGAGAAGAAAAACAAAATGAAAATAAAGAAGCCAATCCAAAGGAAACACCAGTCGAAGCCACAGCCACGAAAAATACAACGGCGACGACTGGCGACAGTGACGGCAGCACCGCGGTCTTCCACACCACCTCCCCTCTTTTGCTTCTTCTTTTTGTTGTTGCGGCCGCTGCTGTGGTGGCCGCGTGAGAGTGAGGGAGAGAGAGCCGTGCACCGCCCGCACACACACTCGTCCTTCTCTCTTTGTGTGTGTCCCCTTGCATGGACTCTCGCCCTCACCTCATCCCACGAAGCACACACATAATGTGCCCATTGTATATATTGCATGCACACCCATGCAGGCCCGTTGGTGCTCTCTTTTGCACCACACGCACCGCTGCCGTCCTGCCTGGCTGCATGGGCGGAGCACCGTAACTGTTTCTGTTTTGTTTTTATTGCATTGAGTGGGCGACCTCTCTCTCTCTCTCTCTCCCTGTGTGTGTGTTTTGCTTTACGGGAGCAATGAGAGTGTGTGCGCTGGTCGTCCCACGCCTCGGCTTTTTGTTTTGTTTTTCATTGTTTTGTGGTTGAGAGCACCCATCCTGCGGGTTGCGTGTGTGTGTGATGATATGAGTAATTTGCGTGTGTGCTATCCGCTCTTCTCTGCCGTTGCTTTCTTCTGACTCTCTTGTGGCGCACAGCTGCTCTGCAGGTATCGGCGCTGCCAAACATACAAGCACATGCACACAAGGCATAACGCAGACGCTGTGACGTGGTGTGAAGTCTTAGAACGCACGCACGCACGCTGCGGATGGTCACGGAGGGCACTGTGGGGGTTGGTGTGTTGGTGCTTGTGGCTGTATTTAGCAACGCTCATATCCACCGTGTTGGAACGGCCGGTGTGTTCGTGGGCCGCTGAAGAGAGCAACGGCGAAAACGGTGACTCCCACGCAGTGCGTTCACAGTAGTCTCCCGGTCAGTGGCAGTGCGGGGAGAAACAGTCATGACAGTTGCAATGCCGTCACGCTTTTTTTTGAGAATCCTGAGAGAAAGAGTAAAAATATATTTGCACACACGACGCTTTGCACCCCCGCTTCAGGGCTGCGCATCACGATGGGGCTGCCGTGCGGTGATGCCGTATGATATGAGCAGCTGGGAGAGAAAGAGAGAGCGCTGTGCGATGCTCCTGCACCCGGAACTGACGCTGTGCAAGTGGTGGAAGGTTGGTGGACGGTCACACAAACACTGCGACACCACGAGGGAAGCAGACGAAACACTCCGCGTGCAGGGAGCGTTGCGGCCGATAAGAAATGTGTGCGACGATGATGGACGCTCAGTCGACGACGGGTTGACGGTTTCTCCCATTGTTGGAGTTGGTGCGCACGCGGTGTGTATGGCCGCCTCTGTGGTCTCCTGTTACTCCGCTGCGTGTGCCGCATCCTGACGCACCACTGGCACTAAATCGTTTTATTTTTTTTCTTTCTCTTTTTCCTTTGTCTCCCGCCTCCCGCAGCCACGCTGCACTGCTACTGCTGCTGCTCACACGAAACCAAGAAATGCATTTACCTCAGGCCATGCGCCAGCCTCGCCATGCCACGCCGCCACTTCCATTGCTGGTGTTGCTGCTGATTTACTGCACCATTGGGTGTATTGCCGCTGCACCCGCTCTGCAGCACCGCCGGGGATATGACGAGATGATGGGGAGGAGCGGCCCACTGCCGACTGTGACAGTAGCACCGCGGGCTTCCACAACAACTCTAATCTTTGGCATCTTCGTGTCAATTGTGCAGCCGCGGCTGCGATGGTGGCCGGGCCTGCATGAAATGGTGTGTGCTGGAGGGGAGAGAAGGCTAGTGGAAAATAGATTGTTCTTCTGATGAATATTGGCTGCACTTCCCGTGGAAAACGAATTCACGCGGTGTGCAGAGATTATTCTTTTTATTATTTTTACTTTGCTTTTTTTATTATTGTTACTTTGCTTTTCTCTTGTGTGTGTGCGTACCCTCCGTGAGGAGTGCAGACACGACGGACCGCTCTCGCCGTATGTGCATGCGGTGGAGCCTTGTATGCCGCTCCTGTTTGCTTCTCTCTCTTCCATCTGTGTGTTGGTGCTGCGGCAGGGCTGTGTGGGTGTGTGCCTGTTGCCGTGGATTGGAGTGTGTGTCGTGCGTGGTTTGCGGCGTACGGTGCATGCCTGGCCGCTGTCCTCTCCTCATGTGGTGTGCCCTCTGTGTGTGTGTCTGCCGCACCTCTCGTCTCCCCTGTTGCTCTCCATGTCCCTCACTGTGCAGATCAGCTCCACACCACTGAACGACCACACTCACGATGATGACGTGCCGTCTGCTGTGCGCCCTGTTGCTGCTCGTCCTGTGCTGCTGCCCGTACGTGTGCGCGGCAGAGTCTACTGAGCATACTGAAGCTAAGGCAGCTGTCGCCGCGAGACCACAGTCCCCTCCATCGGTGGCACTAACACAGGGGACAAGTCAGCCAGGGTCGTTAGGTAATGGGTCCGTTGCGGACCTGGGAAGAGATGCCGGAGCGGGAACAGCCTTGACCGCTGCAGGTCGGGAATCAGGTGACGTGTCTAACACGTTACAAAATCATGGTCCTGACGGTACTCCAGGACCAGAAATCAGCACAGGACAATCCGCAGAAGAAGCAAGTCAGGAAGCCGAAGATCCTGCCGAGACGACTACGACAACGACCACAACACAGGCACCAACAACGATAACAACCACTACAACAAAGGCACTAAGTATTACGGCCATGAATACAGAGGCGCCAACAACGACGACGACCACGACTACCACCACTACTACGACTACAGAGGCGCCAACCACGACGACCACCCGCGCACCGTCACCTCTTCGCGAAATCGACGGCAGCCTCAGCAGCTCTGCGTGGGTGTGTGCCCCGCTGCTGCTCGGTGTATCCGCGCTGGCGTACACCACTGTGGGCTGAAGAGGTGTATGCGGGCTGTGCGTGCCAGCACTCAACCACGGGGATTTGTGTGCATGTCCACTGTGGTCCGATGTAAATAATAATAGAAAGTAATGATTGTGTTTTGCTTCATTTGCTTACGCTGCCCTGCTGTGTGCACCGCGTTGCTTCTCCACATCCGTCACGTTGAACGCAACCCAGACACACTCATGTGCAAGTACACTGGAGTCTTGTGTTTGTTTGTTCTTTTTTTTTTTCTTTTCTTTTTTAATTTTTTAATTTTTTGTTGTTTTTTTTTTCCTTTTTAATCTTGTGGTTTTCAGGACGGTGTGCGAGTTCTGCAATCGCACTGATTCCATCTGTTTCGTGTGCGGCGGCTGCGGCTGCGGTGGCCGCGTGAGAGTGAGGGAGAAAGAGCCATGCACCGCCCGCACACACACTCGTCTTTCACCCACTCTCTGTGTGTGTGTGTCCCCTTGCATGGACTCTCGCCCTCACCTCATCCCACGAAGCACACACATAATGTGCCCATTGTATATATGCATGCACACCCATGCAGGCCCGTTGGTGCTCTCTTTTGCACGACACGCACCGCTGCCGTCCTGCCTGGCTGCATGGGCGGAGCACCGTAACTGTTTCTGTTTTGTTTTTATTGCATTGAGTGGGTGACCTCTCTCTCTCTCTCTCCCTGTGTGTGTGTTTTGCTTTACGGGAGCAATGAGAGTGTGTGCGCTGGTCGTCCCACGCTTCGGCTTTTTGTTTTGTTTTTCATTGTTTTGTGGTTGAGAGCACCCATTCCGCGGCCTGCGTGTGTGTGTGTGTGTGTGTGTGTGTGATGATATGAGTAATTTGTGTGTGTGCTATCCTCCTGTTCTTTGTTTCTCCCCACGCAATCAGTCTTTTTTTCTTTGTGAGCATAGGCGCTGCCAAACACACAAGCACATGCACACAAGGCATAACGCAGACGCTGTGGAGTGGTGTGAAGTCTTAGAACGCACGCACGCACGCTGCGGATGGTCACGGAGGGCATTGTGGGGGTTGGTGTGTTGGTGCTTGTGGCCGTATTTGGCAACGCTCATATCCACCGTGTTGGAACGGCCGGTGTGTTCGTGGGCCGCTGAAGAGAGCAACGGCGAAAACGGTGACTCCCACGCAGTGCGTTCACAGTAGTCTCCCGGTCAGTGGCAGCACGGGGAGAAACAGTCATGACGATTGCAATGCCGTTACGCTTGTTTTTGAGAATCCTGAGAGAAAGAGTAAAAATATATTTGCACCCCCGCTTCAGGGCTGCGCATCACGATGAGGCTGCCGTGCGGTGATGCCGTATGATATGAGCAGCTGGGAGAGAAAGAGAGAGCGCTGTGCGATGCTCCTGCACCTGGAACTGACGCTGTGCAAGTGGTGGCAGGTTGGTGGACGGTCACACAAATACTGCAACACCACGAGGGAAGCAGACCAAAAACTCCGCGTGCAGGGAGCGTTGCGGCCGATAAGGAATGTGTGCGACGGTGATGGACGCTCAGTCGACGACGGGTTGACGGTTTCTCCCATTGATGGAGTCGGTGCGCACGCGGTGTGTATGGCCGCCTCTGTGGTCTCCTGTTACTCCGCTGCGTGTGCCGCATCCTGACGCACCACTGGCACTAAATCGTTTTATTTTTTTTCTTTCTCTTTTTCCTTTGTCTCCCGCCTCCCGCAGCCACGCTGCACTGCTACTGCTGCTGCTCACACGAAACCAAGAAATGCATTTTTCTCAGGCCATGCGCCAGCCTCGCCATGCCACGCCGCCACTTCCATTGCTGGTGTTGCTGCTGATGTACTGCGCCATTGGGTGTATTGCCGCTGCACCCGCTCTGCAGCACCGCCGGGGATATGACGAGATGATGGGGAGGAGCGGCCCACTGCCGACTGTGACAGTAGCACCGCGGGCTTCCACAACAACTCTAATCTTTGGCATCTTCGTGTCAATTGTGCGGCCGCGGCTGCGATGGTGGCCGGGCCTGCATGAAATGGTGTGTGCTGGAGGGGAGAGAAGGCTAGTGGAAAATAGATTGTTCTTCTGATGAATATTGGCTGCACTTCCCGTGGAAAACGAATTCACGCGGTGTGCAGAGATTATTCTTTTTATTATTGTTACTTTGCTTTTCTCGTGTGTTTGTGCGTACCCTCCGTGAGGAGTGCAGACACGACGGACCGCTCTCGCCGTATGTGCATGCGGTGGAGCCTTGTGTGCCGCTCCTGTTTGCTTCTCTCTCTTCCATCTGTGTGTTGGTGCTGCGGCAGGGCTGTGTGTGCGGCGTACGGTGCATGCCTGGCTGCTGCTCTCTCCTCATGTGGTGTGCCCTCGGTGTGTGTCTGCCGCACCTCTCGTCTCCCCTGTTGCTCTCCATGTCCCTCACTGTGCAGATCAGCTCCACACCACTGAACGACCACACTCACGATGATGACGTGCCGTCTGCTGTGCGCCCTGTTGCTGCTCGTCCTGTGCTGCTGCCCGTACGTGTGCGCGGCAGAGTCTACTGAGCATACTGAAGTTAAGGCAGCTGTCGCCGCGAGACCACAGTCCCCTCCATCGGTGGCACTAACACAGGGGACAAGTCAGCCAGGGTCGTTAGGTAATGGGTCCGTTGCGGACCTGGGAAGAGATGCCGGAGCGGGAACAGCCTTGACCGCTGCAGGTCGGGAATCAGGTGACGTGTCTAACACGTTACAAAATCATGGTCCTGACGGTACTCCAGGACCAGAAATCAGCACAGGACAATCCGCAGAAGAAGCAAGTCAGGAAGCCGAAGATCCTGCCGAGACGACTACGACAACGACCACAACACAGGCACCAACAACGATAACAACCACTACAACAAAGGCACTAAGTATTACGGCCATGAATACAGAGGCGCCAACAACGACGACGACCACGACTACCACCACTACTACGACTACAGAGGCGCCAACCACGACGACCACCCGCGCACCGTCACCTCTTCGCGAAATCGACGGCAGCCTCAGCAGCTCTGCGTGGGTGTGTGCCCCGCTGCTGCTCGGTGTATCCGCGCTGGCGTACACCACTGTGGGCTGAAGAGGTGTATGCGGGCTGTGCGTGCCAGCACTCAATCACGGGGACATGTGCATCTCTACTGTGGTCCGATGTAAATAATAATAGAAAGTAATGGTTGTGTTTTGCTTCATTTGCTTACGCTGCCCTGCTGTGTGCACCGCGTTGCTTCTCCACATCCGTCACGTTGAACGCAACCCAGACACACTCATGTGCAAGTACACTGGAGTCTTGTGTTTGTTTGTTCTTTTTTTTTTTCTTTTCTTTTTTAATTTTTTAATTTTTTGTTGTTTTTTTTTTTCCTTTTTAATCTTGTGGTTTTCAGGACGGTGTGCGAGTTCTGCAATCGCACTGATTCCATCTGTTTCGTGTGCGGCGGCTGCGGCTGCGGTGGCCGCGTGAGAGTGAGGGAGAAAGAGCCATGCACCGCCCGCACACACACTCGTCTTTCACCCACTCTCTGTGTGTGTGTGTCCCCTTGCATGGACTCTCGCCCTCACCTCATCCCACGAAGCACACACATAATGTGCCCATTGTATATATGCATGCACACCCATGCAGGCCCGTTGGTGCTCTCTTTTGCACGACACGCACCGCTGCCGTCCTGCCTGGCTGCATGGGCGGAGCACCGTAACTGTTTCTGTTTTGTTTTTATTGCATTGAGTGGGCGACCTCTCTCTCTCTCTCCCTGTGTGTGTGTTTTGCTTTACGGGAGCAATGAGAGTGTGTGCGCTGGTCGTCCCACGCTTCGGCTTTTTGTTTTATTGTTTTTCATTGTTTTGTGGTTGAGAGCACCCATTCCGCGGGCTGCGTGTGTGTGTTTGTGTGTGATGATATGAGTAATTTGCGTGTGTGCTATCTGCCTCTCTCTGCCGTTGCTTTCTTCTGACTCTGTTGTGGCGCACAGCTGCTCTGCAATTATAGGCGCTGACAAACATACACACACACATGCACATGCCATTTTTCACACAATTTGGCTGTGGCGGCTCTTGCGGAGAGGAGGGCGTGAGCTCGTCGTGCGTCCCTTGGACTTGCTGCGGTTGTGGTGTTGGCGACGTGCAGCAGTTGACTGATGTGGCGTGGCATTGAGGGTGCCTGGGATAAGTGCGCATGGATTCTCACCCAGCAGCTGCACGTGCCGACGTGTTCCTCCCGCTGTTCATACAGCGACGAAGGATTCTCCGGCTGTGCGGGGCGTTGTGCGATGGATGTTGCGGGGAGAGACAACAGTAAAACGACTGGCGGCAGCGTCTATGGGCGTTGCTCTCTGTGTGTGCTGACGCGTGACGAATATCACACCCGCTGTGGCTTTTACTGCTGTTGATGGCAGTCGCTGTGTGTTCCCGGTGCACTGTTCTTCCGTCTCGTTCCGTGTGTCTGTGCGTGAGTTGTTGTTGTTGGGAGTGACTGCGGTGGGGATGATGGTGCCACTCACTGTGGAGGGGTGGTGGTGTTCACTGTTTCACTTTTTTAAATTTTCTCTCTTTCTCACACACAAAAAGGAAAGGAAGTAAGGCTAAACGCTAATCGCTACCGTGAAATTCGAAGGCTCTGAAAGACCAACAACACACACACCGCACACACACACATATTTATATGCTCTCACGTGTTGCTGCAGCTGTCAAGACACCCCGCACACACAACCGTCGCCGCGTGACCGGATCCAGCGGAAGGAGGAGGGGAGGAAGAGAGAGTGAGCCGCAGAGGCCCAACATGTCCCGGCATCTCTTCTGCTCTGCGGTGCTGCTCCTCCTTGTTGTGATGATGTGCTGCAACACTGGTGGTGCTGCGGAAGCTGCGGAGCAGTTATCTGGTCCAAATTATAAATGGAAGGACGTCAAGGATGAGGAGGGTGTAACTGTGGAGTCGTTGGGTGCTCCCGGCCTTCTAAAAGTGGGGACTGACGTATTTGCCGTTGCCGAGGCGCAGTGCAAAAAGAGTGATGCAAACATTTTCACTGGCATTGCATCGCAACTACTCACGAAAGATAATGCTGACAAACCAATGGAAGTGTCAAATGGAGCCAAAGATAAGACAAAAGTTTTGGAGGAAGAGGGTTCCGAAGACCCAAAGAAGGAAGTGGATGTGAGCCGACCAACAACGGTTGTGCATGGAAATGATATTTACATGCTTGTTGGGAAATACAGCCAGACAGCTGCTGGTGAGAATAGCGGAGCAAATGACTGGGGATTATTGCTGGTGAAAGGGGAAGTCAGTGCTGAAAGTAGTGGTGGCAAAAGAATCAAATGGAAAGATAATGGCGATGTCTCGCGGATTTCTGTTGGCGAACGACAATCTTGGTCACGGCTGATTGGCGGCGGTGGATCGGGTATTGAGACGAAAGACAGAACTCTCTTGTTCCCAGTGGAAGGCACGAAGAAGAGTGAAGCACAAAACGATGAAAAGGTCGTTTCGCTGCTCATATACACCTTGAAGGACACTAAGAGTTGGAAGCTGTCGAAGGAGGTTCCTGACGGTGGCTGCAGTGATCCCTCCGTCGTGGAGTGGGAGGACAAAAAACTCATGATGATGACTGCGTGTGATGATGGCCGCCGCAGGGTGTACGAGTCCGGTGACAAGGGGGAGTCGTGGACGGAGGCACTCGGGACACTCTCGCGCGTGTGGGGCAACAAACGGGGCGAAGAAGTGAAGGCCGTTAGAAGCGGGTTCATCACGGCGACGATTGACGGTGTTGAAGATAACAGAAATGTGATGCTTGTCACTCTGCCGGTATATTCCGAGGAGGACAGTAAAAAAGGCAATGGAAAGGGTGAACTCCATCTTTGGCTGACGGACAACACGCACATTGTTGATATTGGGTCGGTATCCGGTGATGATGACGTTGCCGCCAGCTCCCTGTTGTACAAAAGTGCTGGAAGTGGAGATAAGAAGGATGAGCTTATTGTACTTTACGAGAAGAAGAAGGGTGGTGAAGGAAAACCTTCACACAGTCTTTGGTCTGTGGTCCTGACTGAGCAGCTGCAGCGGGTGAAGGAGGTGCTGGCGACGTGGAAGACAGTGGACGACATTGTCTCCAAGCTGTGCTCTTCTGAAAGTGCTGTGGAGAGTATCTCACCTGACAATGCCTGCAGTCCTACTGTTAAGATCACGGATGGGCTGGTTGGCTTTTTGTCCGGCAACTTCTCTGGTAACACATGGAGGGACGAGTACCTCGGGGTGAACGCCACAGTAAAGAAGAAAGATGGGGCAACATTGCATGGAGGGGAGACAGGGGCAACAAAGACTTCCGATGGTGTGATGTTCCGGGGAACGTGGGCGGAGTGGCCCGTTGGCAGTCAGGGGGAGAATCAGCTGTACCACTTTGCGAACTACAACTTCACTCTTGTGGCGACGGTGTCCATCGACGGTGTGCCGGAGGAGGGAGATACCCACATTCCTTTGATGGGTGCGCGTCTGGACGGTGAAGGAGAAAAAAAAATTTTTGAACTTTCGTACAACAAAGAAAAGAAGTGGCAGGTGCTGTGCAGTGACGAAACCCCCAAGCATCAAAGCCGCGATTGGGAGGCGAAAAAACAACACGTGATAATTTTGCTACGAAATGGCAACCAAGGCTCCGCGTACGTCGATGGTCAGCCTGTATCGGGAGATGCACAATGTGATTTGAAAAATACGAAAGATAAAAAGATCTCCCACTTCTACATTGGAGGGGATGGAGGTGCAAAAGCCGACTCAGAGGTCCAAGACGTGTCTGTGACCGTGACGAACGTCCTGCTGTACAACCGCCCGTTGAATGACGATGAGATTAGTGCGCTTAACGCAAAACTTTCTATTTCAAAAGCAAAAGATACAAAAACAGTGAAGAAGGGTACTCCTCCACCAGAGGCAATTAAACCAGCTACGCTGGAAACCGGAACTCCGTCTAGTCTTGGCGGGCAACAGCAGACTGAACAGGAACTGTTAAGGAAAAGTGAAAATGCGGGGAGTGGCGGTTTATCCACGTCAGCGGCATCTACTGCCACGACTTTCCCAGCAGCCAAAGAATCCGATAACCAGTCAGCGTCGGGAACACCTCCCGAAGGACATTCAAATGTGGATGTTGATTCTTCGTCCGAGGGAGTTCAAACGGTGTACGCCGAAACTGGAGACACGGTGCAGGGAGATGGAACACAACAACCGTCAGTGGGCACTCCCGCCACAGCAGATACAAATGCCCCTACCGCTGAAATCATGGCGCACGATGGAGCCGCAGTGACACCTGAGGTTGGTGCGCACTCTGTTGAGAATGGGGAGACGGTGGGAGGGACGGATGAGCAGAAACGGGAGGACATCCATGCACAGGACGGCGAAGTAAAGGCTGCGGCACTCAGCAGCAGCCTTGGAAATGTGTCGCAGGGGAATAACAGCGATGCCGGCACTGTGAGTGGGAGCGGAGTGCTGCCATCGCTGCTTCTTCTGTTGGGACTGTGGGTGTTTGCGGCTCTGTGAGGAGTGACTGGCTGCCGCGTGGGACACCTGCGGCATCCCGAGCACAAAAATACACGTGATAATTTATTTCCCTTTTCAAATAACATTTATTTTATTCCCTGTTTGCTTTGCGTTTTGTTTTTGTTTTTACTTTTTATTGTTTCTTTTCTCTCATTTCCCTCATTCCCTTTTCTTTTGCTTTTGGGGGCAATCACTGTGGACGTTTTTTCTTTTCTACTCTTCCCCCTTTTTAAATTGCTTCTAGCTGCACTCTTCCTGTGAGGGGTGCCGTGTGTTTCCCGCCCAACTGCTCCACTCGCACACCCACCGACACGCTCATGACGACGGCCCTGTGCGCCTCGCCTGCTGCACGCATGAGGAGGGGCCGCGACGAACGGCGCGCTGAGGGAGCCGTGACGTGTGGGCGTGCGGCGAGGGCCTGTGGGGCGGAGCACACATTTCTTTCCCTCTTGTTTTGTTTTGTTTTCTTGCGGCCAGGGCGGGCAGACACCCGCAGCGCCACACACACACAGCCACACACTGCCGCCGTGTTTTTATTTAAGGATTTGTTTTTGCTTTGCGTGTTTATTTCATGCGGTGGCGCACCCTTCGGTGTCGGCCTCGTGAGCATTTCTCTCCCCTCCTGATGATTTTTCTTTTTCTTTTGCTGCGCTCACTCTCCCGATGGAGAGACGCGACTCCCGTCATGTCTGCGTGCTTCTCTCAGTCCCCACACACACACGAGTGACTGTGCTCTGCGGGCCGCACTCACACGCCGATGAGAGGGCTGAGGGGAGCAGCAACACGCAGATGACCCCATGAAATATAAATGGTGTGCGGACACATGGAGGGTCAGACGGTTGAAGCACACGTAACCATCTTTTTAAATTTCTTTTGTGGGCAAAATACATACAGACGGTTTGGTGTGGCCACACGATTGCCAGGCGATTTTTCTTCTTGTTTTAAAATTTGTGTGGAGCAGTAATGGACGATTTCTTTTTTATTTATAATTATTTTGTGTGGTGGGGTTTATATAAGACGAAGGGGACGTTTTTTGTTTTCAATAAATATTTTGTGAATTGCCACTGCTTGGGCTGCAGTGCAATCATGAGTTTGAGCGGTCTTCTTGTTGTTTCCGTTATGCGTCTCCGCCGTACATTTTTGTGCGTCTCTCCACATACTCTGCTCCCTCTTTTCCACTTCTTTGCTTTGTGTTTCTGCAGGCACACACAACCACACACACACACACAAGATGCACATTGCAGTGGATTTGAATGCACCTTTTGTAGTGCATGCTGGCAGTTGCGTGTGGCGGCTGTTGTCTTCTTCCGTGGCCATGAGGAGGAGGGAGAGAGGGAGCGCGCACCCCGAGTCTATTTTCCTGCGGGTGTGATGCACCGCGTGTGACTGCGCTGAGTTGGGCTCCGTGTCCCATTGAGGGCGGGATGGCAGGAAATTTTTGTGCCGCGTCATGGATGGATGAGGGTTCGCTTGCTCCGTGTGCGTTGTGTGGTGGCCGCGGGGTTTTGGCCATTTCCCTGGGGCTGCGGGAATGAGCTGGGGGAGATGGTGGTGGATGTCCTCTCCTCCTGCATGGTGGGTGGCTGCTGGCGTTGTGTGCCTTCCTTGCGTGGATGCCGTCTCGTGGTGTGTGAACTGTGCGGCTGGGCCTGCTGCCCTCTCCTCATGTTGTCTGCGCTCTCTCGCTGTATCCGCTGTGCTCCGTCCCTCTCCCTCTCGTTCCATTCTTTTCTTTTCCGTCTCACCGATCGGCTGACTGACACCAGCGACTCCAATACGGGCGATGATGACTGCGATGGTGACGGTGACGGTGCGGCTCCGTGTGGTGTGCGCCGTGCAGTTCCTTGCGCTCTCGTGCTGCTGCTGCACGTCCGTGTGCGTGACAGCAGGTGAAGAAGATGTTGCAAGCCCCAGTCCACTTCTTCCTTTGCCAAGGAAACAAACCGAGGGTGGCCCAAAGAATGCAGGCAAAAATAAAGCTGACGATAATGAAAACTCCAGTCTATCGTCTTTTGTTTCCTGAAGGAATAGGTGCGACACTTACGCATGACTGATCCACTGAGTCTGGCACGCGAGACGGAACACGTTTGGAGGATGAAACGGAACAGTCACTAAGTGATTCCATTACGGTGCACGAAGAAACCGTTTCCAGGAAGGAACAGCAAACAAGTGGACACGGTTTACCGCCCTCTCCACCAAGGGAAGTAAGTACGAATCATGATACGACAAAAGCAACAGGTCCATTAGGCATGCCAGGAGGAACAACTCTCCCGGTTGCTGCGCCAGCACCAAGTAAGAACTCCCCTGCGTTGAAGGGAAAAGATACTGCAAGTACGGGAAAGACACCACGTAATTCCGACACAAAAATGGAACCAACTATGAAGCTGCTGCGCCAGAGAACTCAATTGAGGAACAGACATCAAATACGATGCCTACCACGATGAGGGCCGCTACGACAGAGGCGTCAACCACGACGACCACCCGCGCACCGTCACGTCTTCGCGAAATCGACGGCAGCCTCAGCAGCTCTGCGTGGGTGTGTGCCCCGCTCCTGCTCGCCGTATCCGCGCTGGCGTACACCGCTGTGGGGTAAAAGGGAGCGTTGGCTGTGCGTGCCAGCACTCAGCCACGGGGACATGTGTACGTCTACTGTGGTGCGATGTATGAAGTAAGAGTAATTATGATGATTGTGTTTTGCTTTGTTTTCTTCCGCTGCCCTCATGTGTGCTCCGCTTTGTTCTTCACTTCTGTTTCGTTGAAGGCATCCCACACTCATATGCATTCGCAGCGGAGCCGTACGTGGACACACATTTGAGGATAGGTGCATGCGCACTGGAGTCTTGGGTTTGTCATCTTTTTTCAAAATTTTTGCTTGGTTCTTAAACTTTTGGTCTGCAGGATATTATGTGAGTTTTGCAATCGTGCTGATTCTATCTGTCTTTTGTGGTTTGTTCTCTGCTTCTGCTGTTGCCATTTGCTACTGTGCGGTGGCTGTGCGTGATGTAGCGGCCGTGTCGCTTTTTGATTTCACATGCTCTTGCAGGTTGGCTCCAAAGCGTTAAGTGGCTACGCTGTTTGTGATGATGACTGGCCGTGTGCTCTGCGTCCTGCTGGTGCCTTCACTGATGTGCTGTTTCTTGTGCGTGTGTGCGACAGTTGCTGCGACGGAGGTGCGTGTGCGGCCCGCTGGTGTTTTTTACTGTTTTTTTTTCTCTCTCCTTGTATTTATTCTTGCTTTGCGTTGACGTGTTGTTAGTTTGTGCTGAAGGCTACACGTAACTGACAGGAGTGATGGCGATGATGATGACTGGCCGTGTGCTGCTGGTGTGTGCCCTCTGCGTGCTGTGGTGCGGTGTCGGCGGTAGATGTGACGAGGTGGCGGATTCTGGGGTTGCTGCTGGAAAAGGGAATGGTGGTAGAAGTGCGGTGGAGCCTGCTGGAAATTCAGAGCCAGTTCCAGACGCCTCAGATTTAAGAATAGATGTGCTCAATGTTAATCAGGCTACAGGAACATCTACAGGAAAATCTTTGGAAGGAAAAAAAGTTAACACCGATCAACAGGATGTTCTTTCCAGAGAGGATAAAAAAGATGGGGGCCCTTCAGAGAATTTGGAAGAACCTGTGGAAGATGCTCCAGGAAATGAAAAAACAAACCTGAAATTAAAAAAAGAAGAACAAGAAGGAATACAGCCGCTACAATCGCAATCAAATGTGTCACCGCATCCGCAGCCAATACCGCAACAGTCACAATCGCAACGGCAGCCGCAGCCACAACGAGAAAGAGAAGACGAAGAAACAAAACGGCAGTTGCAACCGCCATCAGCGCCTCAGCCACACATTTCTGCCTCAGAAAAGGGTGAAGGTGTTGGCGAGAACAATACGGGTGGAGAAGGTCAGTCCCCACTGGGAGTACAAGATATTGGAAACGAGGATCCAAAGGCCCCCAGAAAAGGAGACTTATTAGAGGGTCCAGGTACAAAATCAGAAAGCAGTGAACAGGTTCAAACGACAGTGCCAAATAAAGTACCGCCGGAGCACAAAACCCAAAATGAAATGTTAACTCCGGAACAAATGACCAATGAAGGCCAAAGCACGGATACATCCACGAACATACCCGAACTACAAAAGGAAAATAAGGAATATCCTGCCTCTACAGAAGCTACGGCGCAGAGTACATCAACTGGCAGTCAAGAACAAGAAGCTGAGCCATCTACAAGCGAAGAATTTTCCCCTTTTGAGGAGGAAGAATCCACAGGGACGAAGACAACCGAGGATGCTCAAACTCCGGATGCTGCGGCGACAGAAAAACGCCAAACTGGAGATAATGTAAAAGGTTGGCGACAGTGACAGCAGCACCGCGGTGTCCCACACCACCTCCCCTCTTTTGCTTCTTCTTCCTGTTGCGTGTGCGGCTGCTGCTGCGGTGGTGGCCGCGTGAGTGTGAGGGAGAGAGAGCCGTGCACCGCCCGCACACACACTCG